CTTCATACTGAGATCGTTTTCTAAGCTTTTCATCGTGTTTTCATCAATTTTAAGTTTCTTTTCTCTTACATCAATTGGCATCGCTCCGGGAGGACTACTGGATGAGAATTCACGGCGTGGCTTCTTGTCGAACATCCACACAGCAAGTTTATTCGCTACCAAGATCTTGTTGACGGTTGTCGTCGGGTCTTGAGGATCAGAAGATACATTCATAAGTTCTCCAGGCGGTGGTAACCTGGCTGAACTAATGGCCATACGACATGATATGAAGGACGCGTTCAGCTCCATGTTTTCAAATGGTTTCCTTACAAATGCATCAGCAAAACCTAAACAGAAAACATTACTGGTAAGTCTAAATTAAAATAATCTTCGCAATAGTGGTATTGTTTATTTCTCAAGGGATTTAACAATGCAAAAATGCAATGTGGTTATGTGGGCGATTGCATGAAGAGTTGGTAGAACATGGCTAATTAATGTACTTCTCTAAATCATTGTCTCTAAAGCAATGCTTTAGAGAAGTACATTAATTAGCCATGTTCTAAAGGATTGGTTTGGAAGATGCACAAAAACACCAAAACGAGGCCACCAAGACCTCAGTATAGAATTTCATACAAATCCTTTTGTATTTTCATTCACATTTACTTATAAGAAGGACGCATTCAGCTCCATGTTTTCAAATGGAAAAACATTACCGGTAAGTCTAAAGTAAAATAATCTTCACAATAGTGGTATTGTTTATTTCTCAAGGGATTTAACAATGCAAAAATGCAATGTGGTTATGTGGGCGATTGCACGAAGAGTTGGTACAGCCTTGAAACAAAGACTAGTGATTACAGTGTTCACATTGGTGACACGTATGTACGGACAGTAGACTATAGTTCAAAAGAGCCACGTTGCAATACGCTGATTTGTATTTCTTTGAAAACGCTCTCATTACACTCAGTATTATCCCCCGTAAAATATTTGTATTAAATTTCGAATGAGTCTGCAAAAACTACAGCGTTTTCGTGTCGTGACCGTACCGTGCAGTGATTGCGATTTTACGCTACATATGTAATCTAAATCGGCTGAATCCGCATAAATGTATTCATATACTTACCGTCATCAATCAATTCTCTAGCGACAGACGGCTGGCCCAATTCATCGAGCAAGTCAATCAAGTAAAAGTTCTTCTTTCTGCTAATCTCTTTACAGGTGAATTTCTTGTTCAAAACAAGTGACGCCAACATACATTCCTTGTAAATTTCAATATCAATAGCAGTATAGCCATTACTCATATTGTCATCAAAATGTGTAGATTAATGAATTTTGATGAGCTGTTTCTCATTATGGTGTTTATAT